TGAATCAAAAAACGGCGCACTAGAGTATCGCTGGTATGGCACTGATTTGTTGATGAAGAATTGCAGTATTTGTTTAGCGAATGCAGACCCATTTTTTGTCGATGTTTAGTAGTGTATTGATCAACAACCTCTGAATCTTGTCTGGCTGTTCAAAAACAATACAGTAATACCCAGACTTACTCGAACTCGGAGTTATGCGGTTCTTGACTTTTTCGTTTGGCAACACTGCCGCCGGCTATTTTCAGTGTTTCTCTTGCTGTGATGCGCATTGGACGCATTTCGCACGAACTCTACTTGCACGATTACGATTCTACGATCGACGAAGGTTAAGACTGTTTTGTTATACATTTTCTAAATCCAAACGAAATAAATCTGATTCTCCTGCACCAAGTAAGTAAAGGAAAACGATATCGTTGGAACGCAAAATTAACATTATCAGGGATTTTGATAGCAGAATGAAAGTTTGTGATTTGGCAAAGAAATTTGAACTACCGGTATCCACAGTAAGAACGATAATAAAAGATACAGAAAGAATTCTCTATGCAGTGAAAAATGTTCAATCCCTGAACTCAAGCATAATGCGTATTATTGCTGAGATGGGAAAAAATTTTGGTGTGATTATCAAGTAGAAGTGAAAAATTGTCCTGTCGATCGGAACACTGTGTGCAGCCAAGTTAAGCTGATTTTTGAGAGGTTGAAAGAAGAAGCTGGGGAGACAGGCGAAGAAGAAAACTTTGTAGCTAGAAACGGTTGTATCAACCGATTTATAACTCGCTGTAACTGGCGGAGTGGAGAGGCGGCAACTGCCGATAAAGAAGCTGACACTCAAGGCCATGGCAGAAGAAGGTAACTTTAGCAATGAAACCGTATTTAACTTGGATGAGACTGGCCTGTTCTGGAAGAAGATGCCTAAAAGGAGTTATGTCGCACTTGAAGAAAAAACTTTCCAGGCTTTAAGGTTTCTAAAGACCGATTGACAGTGATGGTTGGCGGCAATGAAGCTGGTGAATGCAAGTTAAAACCTCTCTTAATTTACCGTTCCAAAATCCCAAGTGTCTTTAAAAAATAGATCTAAAATGAGCTTACTAGTGATTTGGAAGCGAAATCATAAAGGTCTGATGACAGCTTCTGTTTTTAAGGACTGGTTTGGTCACTACTTCATAAGTCGAACGTTATTGCAAGTCTAAAGAGATTCAATTTAAAGCAACGCACCCGGTCACCCTCCTACCACCCTAATTGATTTTGACCTACGTGTGAAAGTTGTTTTTGCCTCCAAACACAACCAGCTTGCCTCAGCCGATGGACCAGGGAGTCATCAAAACAACATTCAAGCCTTACAAGACGATGCGTTCGTTTGCACAACTGAATAAAGCTGAGGCAAAACAGTGAGATATCTGTTAAAGACTTCTGGAAACAATTAAATGTTTTCGATGCTGTAAGAATCATAACAAAATCTTGGGAATGAAATTTCCAAAAAAATATTGAATGGTGTCTGGAAGAAACAGTCCTTTTTTCAAAAAGGAAACGGAAACCAATGGCAGAAACTCATCATGTCGCTTATATGATAGAAGAAATGTCAATCAATCTTGCCAGGCAGGTTTGGAAGTCAATGGTGATGATGTCAAAGACCTGTTGGATTCACACAGTAAGGAATTGACAACTGATGAGTACATAGAGATACATGCGCAAAACGTCACTGAAGTATCCGACATTTCAGACCTAGTTCCACCAGAAAAGGATATGACAGTTGCAAGCTTGACAGGTCTCAGATGAATTGAAAAGGACTTGAAACTTTAAGAAAACAGACTTCAACGAAGAACGTGTTATAGCTACAAAGCAAGGAATAAAAAATTATTAGCTTGCTACGTAGAAATTCTGCGTGAAAAAAGGTATTGTGTCGTAATGAAGAATTTGTTAGATTTTATGAAGCCATCTTTTTTGCGTAACAATTATTTTTTAAATATTTTGTATTAATGTGTAAAGAACTGCAATTTTATTAAATGTTTTTCTCCTAAAATAGTGTTTTGGTCCCAATTAAACAAAATTTATATCCAAATTTGTACCTTACGCAGTTTTCGTCACTCAGCTATCCCTTAACTTTGGGGTATGACAAGTTCAGACTAGCTCGGTACTAACTGACGTGCAACGCTGAGTAACGATCTGTTCATGAGGCTGATTGATGTTGTTAACTGACTTGAAATAAGAGGTCTTAAAGATCTGACTGTCACCAGTTAAATGAACTTTGCTAGGCGCAACGACTCAGTAATGGATTGTGCAGTGGTGAGTAACGGTTAATGTGTTGGTAATTTTTTGCTCCTCGTCACTTGGGTCAGCGGATCACTGCACTCTTCGACTCAGCCAAAAGGCTTGTGCTAAACTTGTATTATGGCATTTCGTTCACCAGAACAGCCGCATAGTCAGCCAACGTCATCTATGTCCCGAAATCATTGAACGGTTTCATGATTTCTTAGAACTGACGAAATAGGCGGCGTTCCACGACACGAACTTGAATGAGCGGTTTGACACCGTGACCACTTACATTCAATATGAATCGACATGTGTGCTATTCAGAAAGGTTTACGTTGGAAATACTGCATTGTCTGATATTGTTAAAAGTGAAAGAGCGCGTACACGCCTGACCGAGTGAAATAACTATAACGAAAAGATTTAGCTTATTCAATTTTTCAGCCAAGACGGATCCGCGGTGACCTGTCGTAACAGAATCAACAGAAAATCCAGCGATTAAGCGATGGCTTCATTTTTGATGAAATTTTGCCGTACATTAAACGAGTCTCCGACTCCTTTTGTGGAAATTAACTTTTTGAACGTTAACCAGAAACCTACCATCTAATATGACAATTTTACTCATTTATTATCAATCACAAAAATGCCTCATTCCGTCTAAAGTATAAGCAATGGATTGCATTGTCATAACATTTCTGTGGGCAAATAAGAACTATAAATTACAGCTTTTCGTTCTGTAATTACACATTTCTCTCAAACAAATTGGTTTTTTAGGCATAAAATTTCTGTACCGGAAGAGCCAAATAGTAGTAGAGGGCCAAACGTCTAGACATACTGCAAAGTTGTAGTAGCAATGCGGAACTTTATTGGCGGCGTTGGATAAATGTCACTAAGCTTAATTTTTCTACTCTTGAACTCAAAAAAATAGAGGCCTATGTAAATGAATAAACAGTCACACTATTTATCATCGTATAGATGTCACTGTTAGTTCGCTGTTGGAAATTCAAGCCTTCCTGATTGCCACAGCAGCTTATTAAGAGAATGAACTTCGGTGCACCTCGTTCCAGCCTGTATTTAACATCTGAAATTACTGGCTGCCTTCCTAGAAATAAACTCCAGGCTAACAAGCTGAACGTTTTTTTGAAAGTTAGCATGTGTAAAGCATGACGCTTTTTGTAGAGATCAATACAAACTGACACTCAGGTTCTACTTTTTACTGAAACAAATTAGAATCTGCCTCAAGGGCATCATATCTATCAGGGCGATTAACTCTAATATGATCAAAGTTGCTCAGTCGTTAAATCGCCGCACGTATAACCAGAGTTACCGGGTTCTAGCCCCAGTAGAGCTACTTGCCATTCTTCCAAAGTTTATAAATGAATATAACTCTGTGCAGTTATTATGCTTTTTATATACTAGCTGTCGATTATGCCTTTAAAAAATAAGACACTCTTGGCTGAGAGTATGAAAATGGAGACAGGCGGTTCGCCATTAATTTCACTAAAAGGATGCCGGAAATAGTCCCTTCATAAAACTGTAAGAAAGACCCGCATTCAACAGATACAAGTTTCCATTTTTGCCTTTTCTGCCTTAATTGATCGTTTTAATGTCTTTACTGTACATCTGTTTCAGAAACTGCCAAGTTACTGACAAACAGTTGAAAAGGTTTGATATTCATGCAATAAAATATTAGAAGTCGTATGTTTTTACTGTAAAACTTGCAGCCGATTTCAATAAGGCACTAGACTGGTATTTACATTGTCTGACACGAATCGAAAGCGGCACGAGCATACAACTCCACTTCATCAGTCTTTCGACGGCAAGCAATAAAAGCGGTCGTAAAACGATTGCTCGAGGCTCTTTCTGTGACTCGGATGTGCGATTTTGATCAGTTCGTATGCCCGCTGCCGCATATTCTTTCCAAACAGGAATGCGATTCCATACTCGGTAACTACGTAGTGCGCGTGACCTCGGGTTGTAACCACGCCTGAACCCTCCTTGACGGTGGAAACGATTTTCGACACTCCCTTCTTCGTTACCGAGGTCAAAGCCATTATCGGCTTTCCTTTGTTGTCCTCGCCCACCGCGGCACCGCGCATGAAATCCACCTGACCCCCGATACCAGAATACATACGAGTGCCTATGGAGTCGGCCACGATCTGGCCTGTGATATCGATTTCAATGCAAGAATTTATGGCGGCAACCTTTGGATTTTGTCTGATGTACATCGGGTCATTTACCCAACCGACGTCACCCATGTAAAGCATGGGATTTTCATGCATCCAGTCGTATAATTTCCTGGAGCCGAGCGAAAAGCTGCTTACCACCTTTCCAGGTTGAATCTTCTTTTCCGCATTCGTCATAGCACCGCATTCTATGAGGGGAAGAATTCCGTCCGAGAACATCTCGGTGTGGACTCCCAGGTTTTTGTGGTTCTTCAGCAAACCAAGAACCGCATCTGGAATGTTGCCGATACCTAAATGACGACGTTTAATCAATGTAGCGAACAGTACAGCCGACCCATCTCTTACCCATCTGCAATGTAGCGCCGTCTTCAATCAAGTTTTCAGCAATGAGTTGGCCGATTTTCGCTTCAGCCTCACCAATCTC